GCCCCAGCCGGTGCGATGCTGGTCTGCCTTCCGGGCTGACGGCCCCGGGGTCCCCGCGAGGGCGTCTTTGGCCCGGAGCCAGTCTGGGGCTAACTTGCTAAAGGGGTTTTGATAATCCGGGAGAGGGAGGCCTTTGAGGGCTCGTGTCTGCACGTCTCCTGGTGTGGAAGGCTGGATCTGGGTGTGTCTGGGAGGCTAGGCTGTGACAGTGAAGGAAACTGTGTCCTCTTGGCCAGCATGAGGCCCTGGTCGGCTGGAAGAGGGGGAGGGAGAGGGGAGGGAAGGGAGGAGGCGGAGGAGGGAGGGGGAGCCCAGAGCTGTGGGGAAGGAGGGGGTTCTGACTCTGTGACCGATAACGAATTGGTTCTGGGGCTAAATAAGGGAGCCGGGACTTATGTAATTAATGCTATAAATACTGCCATCTGAATTTATATATGTAGATTTCTCCTTTAATCTGAAAATACATTTGTCGGTCTTCTTTGGAAATGTGCATAACTGAGCAGGCGCTCTTGGTTTCATCCTGTGTTAGACTGGGGTATTTTATTCCCTTTGGGGAGGGGGCTGTCAGTTAAGTAAGTTAGACTACAGGAGGAGCAGACTCAGAAGCTGGGCTAACCCAAGATCCTCTTTGCCTCTGTGTTATTAAGTGCGATTTGTATACTGGAGGAAGGCAGCTCCTGAATCCTAATAGACTTTTGGAGCTCCTGGAGGCCATGAGAACTGTGTCTTTGCATTTTCTGTGCCCACCTGACCAGAAAGTTATGTGTGGGTCTTGTCTGGCCAGAGGTTGCTCCAGCAGTCGCTCTTGCCTGTGGGAGTGGTATGTAGAAGAACCAGAATCCGATGATGGCTTGATATGAATCCTAGATGCTACTTGTTGGCCATGTGACCCTAGGCAAGGTACTTAACCCCTTAGTGTTCTGCATGGTGGATGAGAAGTGTCCCCACTTTCCTGCGGTCACTGGGAGGACACCCCAGAGAATCCAGGTGGGGTACTTGACCAGTATCCGGTACGTGGTGAGACCTCAATTAATGGCACATGAAACTTAGTGTCTCTGTGGATGAAAAGACCACAGACAAGACCTCTGCAGAGGGGCTTCCTTCTGTCGCTGTGCATCCAGAGTCCTCTGACAGCTGGCAGGGCCTTCCTCCTGTTTGCTCTGGGACCCTCTGTGAGGAGCTAGGGTGTTATCCTGTGGTGAGCAGAGGGGCCTGACTCGGGGAAGAGTGTGAGGCATAGGTTGCTGTGCTTGGTGAAGCCAGAGGGCCGGACGCCTTCCACACCAGACTCCCGGGAGGACTTGGACAGGGTTGATTTTGGGTGGAGATCTTGGGTGGAGTTTGGCCTGAATTTAGGAGTATGGACTCCATTCTCCCCTCCTGGCTTGTTATCCTGGGAAAGGCATGTCTTTGCCTACAGCCATAGTGATTCCTCAGAGTTTGTGAGAGTACTCATGGCCTCAGTGAACCTGGTTTCTCACCAATTCCAGGGTCCAGTGGAGTTGTGGCAGGTCTCCACCGTCCCTCTGATCAGCTGAGTGGTCAGACCAGCCTGGAGAGCCTAAGAACTGTCCTAACCTGGGGCTTAGGAGTCCATACTGAGCTGTGCTTGGAGATCAAGGTGTGCAGGGTTCCTGGTGCCCCAGCCTTTGGTGTATGTATTTAACATGGTGCATATACCACAGGCTCTGGAACCTTGACACCTGACTGACCCTGGGCTCAGCCTCAAGGTTTGGGTCAGTGCCTGCCTGTGTGCATGTGGGGACAGTCCTCGGGGTTTCAGGCACCTCTTCTCCCTTGGGCGGCCAGTCCTCTGTCCACCTTTGCTTGGCCCCTTCTCTGGATCTGACCCTCATCCTGCCTGCCCTGAGGACCACCTCCTATGATTCTTGTCAGAATTGAGCAGGACGAGGTTCGTGCTCTGTGTTGAAGGACCCTCCAGGGCCTGGGGAGAATGAGCTGTGAGGGGAGAGGGAAGAAACGTGAGGTATCTCAGCCTCATGCCTGGCGTTCTTCCCAGCCAGTCACTTGCCCCCCCATCTCTGCTTTATCCCCAGCACCATCTGTTACTTCCGTTGTCACCCCTGTAATCTTGACACCTCCCCAAGAAGCAGACTCACCAGGGAGTGCCTATTCTGTCCTGAAGTAAGGTTGTGGGAGGCAGCCCTCATGACCCCGTGGGCCCCGAGGCCCCTGTCACGGAAGTATCTCCCTGTCCTGTGAGAATGGCCGGCGACCTCCCTGCCGAGCCTTTCTGAGAGTAAGAGTTGTCTAGCATCTGTCAGCACCTGGCGGCATCGAGGGGGTCACGCGGGAACACCAAGGGCAAAGCTGCAGCTCTTGCTGCTTCCCTGGAGGTGGAGGTGGAGGTGGAGGTGGCGGTGGCGGTGGCGGTGGGCGTGCCCTGCCCTCCTTCTCTCAGGGCCCTGGACCATGCTGTGGGTGCCCACCTTAGGGTCTGCCTGCGTCTGGACCGGAGTGCTCAGGGCTGTGAGGTGAGTGGGAGGGCAGTGCTGATCCAGGGGAACACTGGAAAAGGGACTGATCACAGTGCTGAGGAGAGAATGGATGGAAGCTGAGAATCCAGGGCCTAAACTTTTGTCGGAAGCTGTGGATGGGCTGGCTGCAGTGCCACATTCCTGTAACTCCCGCTGTTTGGGAGCATGAAGCAGGAGGATGGTAAGTTTGAGTTGCCTGGGCAACTTATCAAGATCCTGTCTCAGAATAAAAAAATTAACAGGGCTGGGGGTGTGTATAGCTCAGTGATAGAGTGCTTGCCTAGCCTGTGCAAGGCCCTCCGTTCACCCCCCAGTACTACAAACAAACAAACCTAACTTTAGATGGTAGGAAAAGCACTGGGTGCTTTGTGCCCATCATGTTTTTGATGCCAACAGTCTGTGGTTGGGTGAAGAAGCATCACTTTACTGGTCCATCAGCCAGTAAAGGATGGTCCAAGACCTGAACACTAGCACCCAAGGCCCC